TTTCATGGTTAGTTCAGAAGGGCAATCATGCACCAATTAGATATCCCCTACCATAGACTGTTGTTATATCATCTTTCAGCGACCATTACGAAGAGCCCGTCAACTACAGCGGCAAACGCAAAAGCGATCCACGCAGCCATCTCCAAATGGCCCCAAGGGGCACGGGACCAGGGAGGGTGGCGTCTCGACCGAATGGTGAGACTGCATGGCGCCTCTCCATTAACAAAAGATCGTATTGCAAATCCACTGGCGAGTGGGATCCCTGCCGTGTCAGGGGTGCTGGTTTTCACAGAGCTGTAAGGCCTCTAACACCCTGCTTGGCGGCGGACAAAGTTCGAGCTTGTGGTCCACTGTTCCCCATGCAAGCTCTGATACAGAATGTCATTGCACAGCGTGGCGTTTTCCTCTGGGACTCCGGTTATGTTGAGGACCACTGTGCGAACACTTGTCGTCCATCGTACAGGCAACTTATCTTTTATCTCATATCTCAGCTGTCGTTGGTTTTGATAAGGGTAAGATAATATTGATAGATTGATAAGGGTAAGACCTTGACCCTGCTTGGTAAGACCTTGTAGCCATTTAAAGCCACTAAAGCCACGTCTCAGATATTGGCCAGTGGCAGGTCATAGGTCATGATCTCGTTATAACCTTGCGTTATCTTCTTTGCAAAGCTCAGACTGATGGAATATTTCAGCTAAAAACATTTTAGTTAAAATGTTTCATTTAAGATGGACGACGGAATGCCCTGTGGGATGCTATGAGGGGCTGTTTTTGACGCTCATTTGCAATTACTTGACCTCAGGGAGGTTAACAAACGTGATTTGAGCTTCATGAAATCAGAAGAGGTCACTGACCTTGAATGACCGTGGTCAAACTTCTGTTATAAGAAACACACCACCTAGTGTAATTGCCGTCGCTTATTGAACTTCAAAAATCAAAACAATCTTGCATATTTTTGGTCACCGTGAGTCACGGTGTCCGTGACTTCATTTAAGTTAGATTAGGCGACTGACCTGAAATGAGCACTAGCGACCGTTTTCATAGAGGAAGTATCTAGGTTGAAGGTGGTTGCATAAGAAGATCTGAGGGAACTTAGGACACCGATCTGGAGTTTGCCTTTGTTTGAAATGTTTCCACCTGAAGGTCATGACCCACGAACATCCAAATTCGACTGAAGTGAATTCATGTACAGGCTTGTCTATGCTGTGAATTTCACATTTCCAGCTCTTTTAGTTTTTTAAGATCTCAGGGGACCACAATGACCGCTACCCCAGCGGTGTCGTATCCAGCTGACCAGCCGGGCCCGTATCAAAGCACACACTAAGTTTATGTGGTATCTGTTGTGCACAAAGAGCTTATATTCGGGGCCGCGAATGAAAAACGAAGAAAAGTCTGGATTGTTGCAGCAGAACGGCGTACTTACTTGGGAACATTCATTCAGTAAGCCGTCGAAGCAACTATGCGGCTCCTGCTGTACCTCATCAACGAGTCTGAGATACTCATCCTCGCTTCTTGCTGGGTCAATCCACTTCGAGGTGGAAGAAAATATTGCCGGCATTTAAATTACCTCGTTCTGGATCCCCATGTTTGGAGTGAATGCTTTGTGCGCCACTTACTTTATGACTTCAAATTGATATGCACGAGCGGCGCTTTGAATGCGAACAAGTGCCGACGTGTCGTAACGGCGCGGCGATTTGAGTCAAATTAAGTCATCAGTCAGCGATCTGGCAGCACGGGCTGCCGCCGCTCACCGCTGTTTGCTGGTCAGCGGGAGGCCGGCGCTATCCAAACTGTGGTGTAACTTATATTTATCACGCCATTTATCACTCTGTACACAGCAAATGGTCAAGAACGAAGACCTTCATTCGAACGCGACCTTAATTTTATAAGGACAACCAGCGGTGGTGACTCGTTTTTTTTGGTGACTTTTCTTTCCTCTTTTAGCCTTTTTGAAGTCTCCGTTTGGTGACTTGTCTTATCTGGCTTTTCCTTGGATTTGTTGTGATATGTTGGTGGTGTAAGGTTCCGCCACAAAAGCGACAGTTTAAGTTCCATGAATAATTGCCCTGGCCCGCTTGGTTCATGACAGATGTTTCCAATGGATCAGTTTCACTGTCTAGTTGATTGATTGCCCATCCCGTGATTTCCTCCACATTTTGGCCCGAGGAGAGAGGATAGCACTGAACTCTGCGGGTGCAACCTTACATGAGCACACACTCTTGATAAGGTTGTCACATAATATATTAGCGATGCCAACAGTAGCGGACCTTCGGTGCTGTTACAATGGAACCGATGATGAACGTGGCGCATTTAGCTGTTTGATTGAAATTTTAAATTTTGTGAACCAAGTAGGTTTTTACGATGGTTATGTCATGTTTGCGTTTGTTTTGCACAGTCGCTGGCATAGAATGACTGGTCTGTCTCTGCTGTGTACACCTGCAAGGCTGCAGGTCAAGGCGCAGATAAGTCTCCTTCTCCTCTTGCTAATGCCCGCCGAGCCTTATGAGTCGTCCATCACGCGGCGACCTTGGCTGTCCCCGCTAACGGCGGCATAAACAAATGTTTGGTGACGGCGCTGCGCTGACCCGGGCCGGCTAACGTCGCCGACGCACGCCACGCCACGCCCCTGCGGTCGCGGACTGACCGCCGCCGGCCGCCCTGTGATCCCACCCGGCACCGGCGACACGGCCGCCGACCGGCCGGTAAAAGGCTGGGGCGCCGGTCGGTGGCGGAGAGGCGTCGGCGTCGACGACTGCTGCTCGAGCTTAGGCCTACCCGAGACCCCGGCGTTCAATGGGAACTACTTTACGTGCACACGGACGGGTCAGGGGTCAAATAGAATCACAGGCGATGCGTGGAGGACTGCACCAGTCGGAGAAGCTGGAATGCGTCGGTCAACTCTTGATCTGCAGTACATACGCAAGACACACAGAAAAGACCGCATACAAACACGGGAACCGGCATCGGAAGAGCTTAGAGGGAGAGGTGCGATTCACACCATTTGTCCCCGGATTCACGTGCACGATCAATGGGCTCTATTTGCCTTGCATCACATTTTTTGAGCCATGGTCGGGTGCCGTGTCCTGCTTCGGCTGTCTCTGGGCCTTGCTTAGCCAGCATCCATAGGGCAGATGGCCACCTTTGTACTCGCCACGGCACCAACGCAGCCGAATCACCTGGATAAGTTATTCCTATGCCGTAGCCCCTGCAGCTAAGACCACACTGTTCTCATGACATGCGTAGTGTTTTCCTAGATCCATTTTCGAAGCCAGACGCCTGGCTCGAATGAGTTAGCAAGCCGACCCGGCCCAAGCTAAAATATTCACAGACTGGAATAAATCACCACCGAATCAAGGAGCGGTAAATAACCCGTACGGCCAGTTGCAGTAACGAATTGTGGCAGTTTTTACACGCTCGGAGGGGCACATGGTAATATGTGAGTTCAGTTAACCTCGCGGAGTGGCACCGGAGCTGTTTTTGCTCATCTGCGAGCGAGGATCGATCTCATATCGGTTTGTCGGCAGCGAGTGGTAGTCCCGACGCACGGTCGGTTCCGTCACTTGCAACGGTTCCGGCGAAATGAGGCACATGTTAAGATGATAGCCACGCGCAAATTGCAGCATTTGAGTATGCAAACTGTGATGTATTGTGTGCGTCTGTACGCGGATCCCTGGCCGCTGGCGTTCAGAGGGACACAACGGGGCACGAGCAATCCATTCCTTTCTTCCCAGGAGTTTGATGCATGGCTATTGCGAAGGCGCATGGCACCTCTGTAGCTGGCACCTAGCCGGTCGGAAACCAGCCGCTTTTCTGCCCGTATGTTCCGTTTGTAGTCATGTACCCGTTGAAGAAGCTACGCTGCATTGCATGAGCTGCAATGCTGCACCATGCTGCGCCATTCTGCAACAATCCGGGCACGTTTCTCGGGCCGATCGATCGGGAGAGTGCGGCTCGCGTTGTTGTTAAAGCCAGTTCAGCGGTCCCCGCATCCGTGTTGGTGTTGGTGTTCTGTGTCGCCCGACGAGTCTCCCCGGGCGGTTGATCCACGACCACGCGCTATTCCAAGGACACGCTATATCTCACGCCGCGTCCGTTTGCCTTGGCCGGACAGCTGACGGTGAGCTATGGGTAGTTTGGCGAGCCGAGACCGCCGCGCCACTTCAGCCGCCGATGGCCGGAGTCGGACATTAACGGCGCGGGTGGGACGTGTTTGCAGAGCCCGTGACGCCAGACCCATAGCCTGAGGCGTGCTTCAGCTGGCTCGAGCAGGGTGGGCTTCACTCACGCCAACATGTCAAGCCCGCTTACATACGTGCAGGTCCCCGCCACATGTCACCCTTCTGTCCACCGCTGCGGTACCTCATCCCCGCACCACCTCAGCGTGGTGGCAAGAACGCGATGTCATGGGAGCCTCATGCGACGTGCTTTTTGCGTGGGTAACATCAACTATTAAATCTAGAAGCGTCACTTTAAAAGAATAAATGTAAACAACGCACGTCAAACTTAACGAATCCAATATTTGCGTACGTGCTATATCTGGAGGGCATTCAATCAGCAACTTTTCCATCTTCCGCAACATCAACCACGACCTTGCTGACAGCAATGCATGTTAGATAAACCAAATGGATTCGCCCCTGCTTTCGGCTCGAAGACATCTGGCGCAAAGTGACCACCAAATCAGAAAGGGTTCATTCACTTTCAACAAAGTTGTCATACAACATCAAGACACATTTGATAAACCCTACAACAAAAAATAGTTTGCAAGCAATAACCCACAGCTCATTTGGGATAATTAACTGCTCGTGGGTCCTCCACAAACGCGCGCATCACGCATCGCTGCGGCAGGTTTTGCACCCCTTCGCTGCGCAGCAGAAATACTTCAAAACATCCTATTTTGCACACCAAACGTCAGTTACCTATGCTGTCTGCCCATCAGTTGTCTAACCTTTTATGGCGCGCTCAGACAAACCACGTCTGGCCGCCGATCAGATAGCACATACTGTCATTCACACCGGTTTTATTTGCATCCATGTACAACGAACGCGATTGTTACATAAGCATCAGACCTCACGGCAAAATCGCGCCTCACTGAACCGCACGTCCATTCTGTACAATCACGATATAATTAATCCATAATCTGTCCCAGCCCGCCACTGCCGTTATCGCCCGCTATCGGCGATCCGTCCTACACGAGGCGAACGGACCCCACGGCCCACCAGCGTAACGGCCCTGCCCGCTCCCCGGCCCGCCTTCAGGCGGCCCCGGACAACAAACACTGCGCCTGTGCCCTGGCGGCCGGCGGTCCGCCTATCTGCAGACAGCCTGGCGCTCCGTAGGCGGCCACCGCTCCTCAGGCCCGTCCGCCTCGGCCAGCTGATCACCAGTCGCCCGGAGACGACCCCGCTGGTGGGGCGCCCGAGGGCCCGGCCGAGGCATGCTACTCACAACACTGATACGAGACTGGCTCCAACCCGACAGGCCCGGTGCCGGCGCCGCACACGGACCGAGCACACTCCCAAGGTACGTGATGGGGGCACCCGCTCCACGACGCTCGCTACGGATATGGAATGTTCTATACAAGCACACTGAATTACACGGGCGCTGCCATCACGGATGGGAAGGCGAATCATCGTCCGCCGGGGGGATTTCCAACGATTCTGAGTGCTGGAACATGAAACTCAAACATGGAGATCCGAAGTCTACCTGTCCATTTTGAAGCTTTTCGCCACCTGAAGTCGTTGAGTTTCATTGGCCCATGTCCAGCGAGGGGATAAGAGCTTCTCACGCGCCTACACGCGCTTACGAGAAGCCGTGCTATGCTGATGAACGTCCTCGTTGTCGGACTAGTTGTTCTTCTTCATGTTCGGGTTCGTCATGCGGTAGATGATCGAGTCCTTGCCAGGATCCATGTAGGCAGTCATCACTGGAAAACGCAACGCCGGTTAGCACCGTGAACAGTACAGAGTTGCCGGCGTGCTCGTATGGCTAGGCGTAAAAATAGCATGACGACACCACCCATTCCATACACTAAAAAAACTGCTCCACGCCCCATACAGTGGCCACTGGTCATGACATACCGTTAATGGGTCAGGGAAAAACTGTGAAGGCAAACCCATTACAGTAATAAGCTATCATCGGAAAAAAACAGGTGTCACCGACGATATCTCAACACGGTATCTCAACCGGCTTTGTCCGAGCAAATACAAGCGAGATTTCACGCCGCCAGAGGGCTCACCGGAGAACGCCACCAGAATGTACAGCAAGAAGATGGAGGTGATGAGCAGGATGTTGAAGATGACCGGGTAGTCGTCGCTGTAGCTGGAGGCCAGATTGAGACCGCCGTCGGCCGGTGGTTTGTCGGTAGGATCGGCCAGCAGCGACCGCGTGCGCCGACTGAGCGCCGGCTGGGTCAGGAGCAGGGTCAGCGCCCGTCCGCCGCTGGCCTTCTCCATCTGGGCGGCGTAGCGCGCCACGGCGGCGGCCACGCGGGCGGCGGCGTCGGGCGCGCCCTCGGCCTCGGCGCCCGGCAGCGCCTGCAGCGAGAGCAGCACGGCGCGCCGGCCGTCCAGCTGCGACGCCAGCCGCGCGCCCGCCCCCTCCAGCAGCGCCAGCTCGGCCAGCAGGCGGCGCTCGGCCGGCTGCGACGCGTTCAGCGCGCCGGTCGCCGCCGACGCGTCCTGCCGAGAGTGAGCCGGTGCGGTCAAAGAGCGAGTTAGCGCGGTCAGAGAGCGAGCCGGTGCGGTCAGAGAGCGAGCCGGCGCAATCAGAGAGCGAACCAGCGCAGTCAGAGAGCGAGCCGGTGCGGTCAGAGAGCGAGGCGGTGCGGTCAGAGAGTAAGCCGACGTGATCAGAGAGCGAGCCGGCGCGGTCAGGGAACGAGCCGACGCAGTCAGAGAGCGAACCGGCGTGGTCAGAGAGCGAGCCGGCGCGGTCAGAGAGCAAGCCGGCGGCTGGTGTTCTCCGGAGCAGCACCGCGGGCGGTGGACATTACGCCCGGCGCAGCTGTGGAAGTGTGTGGTGCAACGACTCCTCCCATCCTCCTCCCAGACGGCATCAATCAGACAGAAGGCTACGATACATGCACACCAAATAGCCATTACACAGCTACCAGACAGACATCCGTTGCACAAGTCCGTGAAGCGCCTTTCAACCGTCCGGAGCAAACCCAAATCTGAGCGCATCAATTCAGTCAAGTCATTTCAGTCTCCGTCGAAATGGCATTTACTGTTTGCTTGAACATGACAGATAGTTCACTCGCAGTGAGAAATTGCGTAACGTTACGAGCGAGGCCGCAGGCCGAAACCATCTGACTTGAACGCTATAAGGGTTTAATTTGAGCGGGCGGTCATCACGCTTTCTATAAGTTTATACCTTACACCTTTGGAGTCACTGAGCGCAGCGTCATATGTCTCGGGACTTTAATCGTACTTCTCTCGCGGGTGAGCTCTTTAAATTCTAAAGCACTTGCGAACAAATTGTTTGATAGTGTGTAATTTGCCTCCGACATTTGCAACATTTGCAAAATATGTTCCTCCACATTTGATTATGGGAAACTTACGGGTTGCTTTCGAAGAAAAGGCTACTCCAAACGAAAAGAAGCCAACTCCAGACTTCGACGGGGCGACGTGGTGCCCAGGCGGAACCAATACCGGTTGAAAGAGTAGAGAGCGACATGTCATACTGACCGAAGCGTGGGTCCACGAGGGTGTGCAGCTGGTCACACGCGCTCGAATCAAAAGCTGGGATCCGCCCACTTTTAGGGACTGGTGCCATGTTTTGGCAACCACAGCATGCTAGCACGCCATCAATGTATCGTGGAAATGGTGGGTTCTTCAATTACTGTTCTGCACACAGTTTTGCTGCCCTGGTGCATGCTGCTCTGTGACGCCTACTGCCACAAACTTCGCGGGAATGACTGTTTTGACGATCCACGCTACCCCCACCACACCCATATAAGGACCCAGTTGAGCCAACAGGTCCATCCCCGGGTCACGCACCTCCTCCGCCTCCAGCTTGATGGCGGGCAGCGTGTTGGGCTGCTTGGCCAGGCCGACGTCGAGACGGTGGAAGGCGGTGTCCACGTCGACAGCCGGGCCGCGCACGTCATAGTGGCGCCAGCCGGCCGTGCCCGGCAGCGGCTCCGACACCTGCACCGCCAGCACGCTGACGACGCGCGGGTACCGGAATGGCGAGAGCACGCTGGCGCCCTCCCAGCCGCCCTGCCAGACCATACAACATGGTGAGATGGCAGGTCAGAGGGAGCGGGGGGTCAATGGGTCAGGGGGACAGATGGCAGGTCAGGGGGACAGCCAGCAGGTCAGAGAGGACAGGGGGTCAGAGGGGATGGGGGGGTCAGGGGACAGATGGCAGATCAGGGGGACAGCCAGCAGGTCAGGCAGATAGCTGATGAAATAGGGAGGACAGCTGGTGGGTCAGGGGGAGCAGCTGGCAGGTCAGGGAGACAGCTGGGATTGGAGGTCAAAGGGACAGCTAGCAGATCACAGGGGCAGCCAGCAGGTCAGGGGGCAGCCGACAGGTTAGGGAACAACCAGCAGGTCAGGGAAACAGCTGGCAGGTCAGATGATTGGCATGATCACTGGCTAGTGAAGCAGCCTTCAGCAATCAATACAGAGATGTGAGGACTGAAGCTGACTCAGTAGTGGTCTGATGTCAGCTTGCTAGTCAGCTAACAGACCCATCCTGTTTTCACATCCTGGTACAATGTGATGGTGCTGTGGCCACAGTGCAGCTGTAGCATCTCTCATGTGTTAAAAATAAATTGTGTTTTAAAACCCATAGAGGTTGGATGGCTTCAGTCATGCCATTCTACAACAAAAAACGGGATTGTTCAAGCACAACACAAGCAGAGAGATGCTCAGATCCCACCACCAATTGGCTTAATGTAGCATGACTAAGTCCAGGATTATGAGGGCCTGAGTACTTGAATCAAAGGGTGATGGCACGCTTCTGCTCTTCTCCACTGTCTCCCATGTGAAGAAAAAATAACTACATTTACCTTCTGGTGTTCTACACATGCTGTGAATAATATTATGTTATCTTTTTAAATAACAAAGTAGATACTACTGACCTTTGATGATGTCACACCAGAGATAATATCTAAAACAGCACTGAGCTGGCTGGACTTGACCTCAGTAACTTTGTCTGAGAAGGCAATGCCATTTGCATGGAGAATTGATGACAAAAAGATCATCACATTCCTGAAACACATAAAGTCAGGGTTAAAACTGATAAATTATCTACCTGCATTGCACACATACAGAATAAAACATGCATATAACTTAATACTTTTTAACTGGGTACAGATCACAGCACATAGCAGCATTCAAATGTGATGCACTTTCATTAAAATTCACATTTAAAAAGCAAAAGAACTTACATACTGTAAACTTCACTATATTGAGAGCTTAAAGACCTACTTAAGTATATATGATTGCTGCAAACAAATTCAAATACCCATCATAGAGTGCATGCCACATTACAATTTTAGCTGTCTTGGTAAACACAGAAATGCAACTTACTGATAAGTGACAATAGTGCAAGAAGCACAGCAGTTTGAGCCACTTTCTTCATCTTTCAGAGGATCTGCCCTGTAAACAACACTGCAAAATGTCACTACAACACCTTGTTATGACAAAACATGCCACTTCATGCCTTGTTGACCACATAATAACATATTTGCAGCATCCTTAACAGCCTAATAGTTGATCATATCATCACACCTTAATATAGATTATGACACTGCATCACCAATCTCCAGGGTGCAAAATGTGTGAGAAGTGATACTAATACTATTGCCAACAACCAGCTGTCAATTGTAACTGAGGTAGCAAACACAATACAATAACGGGATTGGAAATAGCCTCCTAGCTGCATTGATCACAATCTCTTTTACTTTTCAAGCTTATAGTGATGGTGTTTTCCTAATGTGCATGATAATTTAAGGAGATAATTTCTGAATCCTTTACAGGACCTCACCACCTAAGCACCATAGCCTTGAGCCACAGCATATTGTACGGCATAGAAAATAATAGCAGATATCTACATGTAAAATGGGAGTTATAATGGAAAACCCTAAACTTAAGCAATAACTTTAAGACTTCTACCAGTTAATTACCACGAGTATGCACACTAAAAATAAATTCTGAAGCACAAAGTGCATGACCATCCCACATTAAGGTGAAAACACGTTCGTGGGGAAATGATTATGGGTAAACCTGCCATGAACATTCTGTGCTCACGCACAAGGCAGAAACGATCTAAGAGAATTATTTTAACATAAACACATGGTCAGCATGCCTGTAACTATCCACCCTCACCTATTTCATAAAAACTAAAGCCTCCGCCAAACCACTGTTCACTGGTCCAAGCTTCGGGGTCCCAACTACAGCTTTCAGCACCAAAAACAGCCAACGGCCAACGGGCAACGGCAACGGGCAACGGGCATTTGCCACACTTTGACAGTTTCTTTTATCAGAAGTCTCAATCACTTATTTATCGGTGATTTGCGTACCTCAATGATCCCAGAATGTGGCACAGGCTGTCGCAATTCCACCGACCCGTGCGGTTGCCTTGTTTCGGTGGATCAATGACATTCAGTCTCGTCTCGGCTGCGTAAAGTTTGTACCCACTCGTAGTTTTCGGTGGTGGTTTGATAATCTCTTTTTATAACAAACAAACTTTGATGGTGTATCCGTCCATGTAACAAACTAATTTGATTAAATAAATGATTTTAATGGCGCATTTTCACTATTAGCTCAAGCACAAATGGAAAAACATTGTGAATATGCAAGCAAAACTCAATATAATCGACATTCGTATCGATACTGGGTCAGCTGACGGGCCACCTTGCGGAGAAGCGAGATACTACCATCACATGACCAGTGATTATTAATTCCGGGCGGCGGGCGTGGAGGTTCCAGTGAGGCAATAGAAGGAAAGGGTGTGGGTATTGTCGTGCTCTTGGAGTATCTGGACCTCCAATAATTTCAAATTTTTAATAATGGTCCTATATAGATAATGGAAAATCGCACCAAAAGGCCCATGATTCATGTTGGAGCCCCTCCCGTTACCCATTTTGCAGGGGCGTCAATTTTTGGAAATTCATTGGGAGGCCGAACCAAAAGTCCGACAACCTACCTCCCCGTATTTTTTTACCCCCACATCGAATTGAGCACGCTTCGTTTGGATGGAACGCAATATATGCTTTTAATCTCTGCATAATTTGTAAGTCTTTAATTTAAACAGTACGGAAGTCGTGCGGGGTTGGATCCAGGGAGCAGGCACTGGACGCACGCGTCGCTTCTGATAGGGACGCGAAGGCGCCCCTTTAGAGGCCACCCTAGAGCACCGATGGCGCCCTTCTATGGCTGTCATGGGAGGCGGCACACGTTTTGGTTGGGGGGACGGGGGCGGGGCTAATCATGAAGGACTAATCCCCATATTCTACAGCCTTTTCACTTCATCCTCACGAACCATTGCGTGTCTTATGGCGACAGGTACGTGAAGCTAATCGCATCGTTTATCCGTTCAGCTGTTACTATGATTTGTATATCGTAGTGGGAGAAACGATGACTTTTTGTTATGGGAGTGGTACGAGACGCCGCTTCGCAGAAAGATCGAAGAAGATAGTCCTTGAGTTCTAATCATTTTTTACCCACGTTTTTTGTACAATTCCAGCCAAAAATATTGGGGGTCAAGCCAACATTGGGGGCCCAAATCAACATCAGGGGGCCGGACCCTCAAAAGAATACAAGTCGACACCCGTGCCATTTTGGGATGGTCCCCGGCCCAGTCATTGGCAGGGAAACATCTCCAGAAGCAGGTGGATCAAGTTTGTATGTAATGCCAAATTTAAATTATTCTTCCGCCCGGTAAATAATATTTGTTCACAAGAAAGTTGAGACATGGTCCCCGACCTCTAGACCCCCCGCACATACACTGCGGATCGCTCGAGAGAACCGCGCCACTTGGCGCGAAATGACCGGTGGTTGACGGGCCTGAAACCAATAAAAGAATGAATGGAGCAGTGACAGTGAAAGCGAAATCAACTGCGCAGTTACGGTGGAAGCGAATGCATTCGGGGTCACATCGCGGCTGGACCACTCCACACACAACGGCGAACGGCCGCACGCAACGCCGACAGGGAGACTCACCCTACGTGCCCGATCAGCACCTCTTATATTCTTTCCAACGCTCATACCCGCAACACGATCTGCGTGCGACTCGCCGGCGGCACCGTGACGCACGGCCCCGAGCCGTGATTGTTCTCCTCACTCAGACATGGGTCATCGCCCCACTCGCCTTACGTGCTGACACACTGACCCAGGGCATGGTCCATAGCTACACCCACCCCTGATCTTCAAAGATCATACATTCACACCAACGCTTCATACTATCCAATCATTCGACATACACCGGCCGCGGGAGACCGACCCGTCGCTCCACCGGCCGCGGGAAGCTGCTCCACCGCCCCACCGGCCGTGGGAGGCTGCTCCACCGTTCCACCTGCCGCGGAGGCTGCTCCACCACTCCACGCTTCGCTGGGTCACAGCTGCCGCCGCACAGAACCGCACGTCTGTCGGCGTCTGCACGCTGGTACCTCCCAGGGCAGTGATGCCACTCACGCCGAGCATGACGTCAACACCCAGCGGTCGGCCCGGCACTACCAAGACCTCGAGCGTCACTCGACAGTCCTTGGTATCAACCACCATGCTGCCAGTCCCGCAGCATCCGAGTTCCCGGCCGCCAATCGTGGCCACTCTCACCGTCCGCGGCGTCCATCGTTCGCAGCGGCCAGCGTACACGAGCGCGTCCGTGCAGCCCGCGTCCACCGGCACCCCGACCATCCGCCCGTTCACTTCCAGCCAGGTGATGGGCAGCGCGCCCCTCAGTGGCGGGGAGACGGCGCTCGCGCTGACGCGGCGTCCCCCGACTCGCTTCCCGTCCGACGCCGCGGGCAGGCGACGGCGACGTGGCCCGACTCACCGCACGTCCAGTAGCGTCGCAGTGGGTGCCTCGCCAAGCGCGTCGTCGGCTCGCGGAGGCGCCCCTACACGCGCCACGGCCGCTGCCACAACGACGCGTTCATCGCTGAGCACGGCCCGTGCCCGTGCGAGAACGCTCGCTAGGTCCAGCACGACGATCCATCGTACGCCGGGATGAGCCGGGCGTCAAACAGCCCGCCTCCACCCCAAACGGCTCGTGACGGCCCTGCTCCCGCTGGCGCTGGCGCTCCCGCTGGCTGACGCTGGTGTCGTCGTGCCACCAGCCGTGATGGACGTCGTCACAGCGCCTGCAGCCGCTGCCGGGGTCTCGGGCATTCTGGCCGAAATAGCTTGTATTCGGGGTCACATCGCGGCTGGACCGCTCCACACACAACGGCGAACTGCCGCACGTAACGCCGACAGGGAGACTCACCCCACGTGCCCGATCAGCGCCTCTTATATTCTTTCCAACGCTCATACCCGTAACACGATCTGCGTGCGACTCGCCGGCGCCACCATGACGCACTGCCCCGAGCCGTGATCGTTCTCCTCACTCAGACTTGAGTCATCGCCCCACTCGCCTTACATGCTGACACACTGACCCAAGGCATGGTCCATAGCTACACCCACCCCTGATCTTCAAAGATCATACATTCACACCAACGTTTCATACTATCCAATCACTCGACATACACCGGCCGCGGGAGACCGCTCCATCGCCCCACCGGCCGCGGGAGACCGACCCGTCGCTCCACTGGCCGCGGGAGGCTGCTCTACCGCCCCACTCGCCTTACATGCTAGCACACTGACCCGGGGCACGGTCCACCGCTACAGCGAACTAAATGGAACAGTGACGATGCAGCGAAATAAACGGAGACGTGCAGGGATGTAAAATTTCCTTTTTACTTGGGGCGCTTCAGGTCCCCCGTCCCCCAGCTTAGACTCAAACCCCCCAACTTTTGGAAGAAATTGGGCCAAACTGGGGAGAAACCTGTTTTGGGCATATTTAGAGGGCGGGCTGGGTCACCTTTCACTGTTCTGCCCCCCCCCCCCCCCCCACCCCCCAACTAATTTTGTGAAACTGCACCCCAGCAGCAGTGTCGGTGGAAGCGGAATCAATGGAGGGATGTCGATGGAAGCAGAGGAGTGGTGGAACATGCACCAGTGTGGTAGCCGGCCCATCTCTAAAAAAAAACGTCAACCTGTTGACCCTGTATCCAAAGGCGTAAACGGGTACGGCGGCACAAAAGCTGGCACCTCCTTGGCACCTCCCAGGTCCCTATCAGCAGCCCGTTGTAATGGTCGAGGGTCGCATGTAGGGAACCCAGCCTCTAGGTGCAGGCCCCAGTGCGATTATTTAGAGCCCTCGTGCACCGATCGGGGGCTCTTGAGGACCTTTGCAGGTTAGAGACAAATAAATCCGAACGGCCGGCTTCGCGTCGTTTTGGGGCTTGGACACTCATCCCCCAAAAGGGCACGAGAACGAATGGGCTTAAGTAGGAAAGCGGTCGCAAGTCGTCACGGTCTCAATGGATTGCACGAATATTATGATCGGGACCAGATGTGCTGGCATGCTACATGGACACATAAATCGCCCACAAGACGGCGTTTACCATCGGGGCACTACCGAAGAGAGCAAACATGGTCACCTTGCTGACCGGGAGAGACCGTAATAGTAAATGCCTGGCGCCCATCCGGGATCAAATCATGCGCAAGGTCCAGTGCTGCACTGGAAGGAATTTGAGCCGCATCGAACGATCCATGAGTACCCGTATACGGATCCGGTCCTCATGGAGCCTCACGGCAGATACCTATTTGGAACTAAAGAGACCTATTATGGAACCCGGTGGGTGCCTTTCTCCGCGTAATTCTTAACAGTCTTCGAAAAATACCATTATGGTTTGCTTGTCGATATCTGATTGACTTCCCTAGCCAAGAAAACTGCCATACTTCTGTGTACTTAGTCATTCACTCGGCGTTCAATAATGTGCAACGTGTTTCGGCATATGTCCCTTATCTTCGGTCGCCCGTTCCTGGCCTGAATCGGGTCGCAATCTAATGTTATTTGGTGCCAGTGGTCTGCACCAATGGCGTTGCCACGAGAGCTGGAGGTGCTCAAGGCTTACGTGATCCCATGGCTTATCCACCAGGCAGCGTTACATCGTCCGAGCTGTATGACGAAAGGAGCAAACTGCGCTCCTCTGCCGACATATCAGGGTCGAAATAGGCCATCCTAGCGAGAACCGATACCAGGTCATGCCGGAGGCTAGCGGATGCACTGACAGCGATTTGAGCACAGCTGATTGACCCGTGACTCTCCATCGGCGTGATGCAGTATTCGTTTGCCCTGCGGCCTTTTTACATGGATCGATAAACGAAATTTTTCGTCAGTACCTCAATAGTCAATCCATGCCCAGTGTATAAGGCGATACCACCGGACCGGGTAGGTATCATGCATCCATAGCATGCTAGGATTCATCAAAATCGTGTACCGACGAATATGAACCTGAACATAAATATCCCACTCGTGCGGTGTTTACGAGCATAAGAGGTAATTCCTTTGCATGGTAATTGTCACTCCTCGAAAACATGCATGCGGTCGTACCGCCTTTCACTTTCTTCGTGCTGGATTCTACATCTCGACGTGAAGCAAGAGGATGCGACAGCAGCTGCGGCCACCAGCAACCTTCTCGTCATGCCCCAGGTACTTGGCGGCAGCCAGAGACACACCATATAACACGCTATAGATAATGTCTCTCGCCAGTCTACAGGACAGTGTGAATTAGATGAACGTCCGGAGACGCCGGCGTTCGTGCTCTGCTGGTGCTCTCCAGTCGTTGATTGAAACAGTGTATGCAAATGCGTTGAACACGGTGTGAAAATACGCTTTATGTTGGGGGATTCGGTGGGCCAGGCAAACTTCCCAAGCATCGCTACAGGCCCGCAGCGGGATGGCAGCTTGCGATCACCTCTACAAATAATTCACAGATCAAATCAATAAAATATATACAAAAAATCGCAATGTTGACACACAATCCCCTGTATCACACAAAATAAGCAGCATTCAAAACATTTCAAAAACAAGCCATTCACTGAGTAAAATCTTGTTTTCACACAGAAGACATAAGCAGAAGCCAACTAAAAGCTGTCAAACATAATGCGATGCCATCATCTGCGCAAGATGCCGTAACCAGACAGCACAATCGAGACTGTAGAACGTCGCCAAACTTCAGCAGACGCTCAACATTATCGAGGCAAATGACGGAACGAGAACACAAAGTACACAATCTGGGAGGAGGAAACTACGCTCATCAGCATTTGTTTTTCTTTCCTCGATGCGTCTGTTTGCTACGACTTGCTTTTTGACACAGGCCCCGTTACTCTTGCTGGTGTTTTTATTTCACGTTCCTATCCGACTTGCTCAGGAAACAAACAGTTAACAAGCGGTGATACCCCAATAGTCAAGAGCTCTATTTTAGAGCTTCGGCTAGTATTCCGCAGTCCACAGATCAATCAAAATCGGTAAACAGCCGCGAACACATGATTCAGGTCTACTCAAATCCACCAAAGCCATGACTGGCCGACGAAAGACATCTCAATCTCCGTATGCACACGCATTGTAAACATTACAATTCGACAACCAATCCGCGTCGCTTTCACCCACACAGGTGCACATGAGATACGCCGTTAAAGCTACTACAGCTCATCAGAGACACTTGTGAGACTAGCGTTGTTTTTTTGGTAACGGGCTTGAACCTCGCACTCAGCGCCACCTCAGCGAGGCGACAAGCTTCGAACGGCACCCGTGACCGGGCCACCCCTGGGCCGAGGTCACCACACCCGGCCTTTTTCCCACCGTCGGCGGCCGGAGGGCAGCGCCCCACACACGCCCCAACAAAGACACACACCGGCGGCGGCGGTGGCAAGCGCGCGCCGCCGCCGACTGGCCGACGCCGCCTTCGAGGGTCCGCCGCGCCGCCAGACGAGACCAGCATCACGGCCCGACTCTGCCGGCCGCGGGCCGTATCACATGGGAGGGCGCGGTGCCGGCCGCGAAACGTCCCGTCCCGCCCGTTCAGTCCGACGGCCGGGGGCGGGGGGGGGGGGGGGGCGTGGCCCGGCTCACAGAGCCGGGGCCGGCTAGTCGCCGGTGGCGCCGTGCGGCTGCCAGAGCAGAGCGTACACGCCGCGCCGGCTGGCCGCCTCCAGCGGCTGCGAGCCAGGGCACTGCGCAGAAGCGGCCCACCTAGCGAGCGGTATCCGCGTCCGAGCGAAGCCAGACCCAGCGCCGGCGCCGGCGCCGCCAGCTCGCGGCCGCCGCCCTCCTCCGGCGAGGCGGCGGCGGCCGGCGGCGGCAGCAGCGGCACCAGCGCCCGCACCTCCTCCTCGTGCGGCCGGAACACGGTCAGCGGCAGCATGGTGGCGGCGGTGGCCACCACCAGACAGCCCCAGCTCGTGCCCAGGTACAGCTCCCGGCCGAGCACAGCCAGCGCCGTCACCTGCGCAGAGACGGCGGAGCACCGCTGACATTAGCCCGGCTGGCGCCAGAGAGCGCCGGTGTGCAAATGTGGGCTGCTCACACGGCAATGTGTTAGTGAAAAGTTCGACATTTTGACAGGTAGATTTCACACCTTTGCGGACACTTGGAAGCAAAAACATGATTGATGTATACAATATATATATATATATATATATATATATATATATATATATATATATATTCGTGAATAAGGCGCAACCTGCACTGGATACTGGATACTTGATACACCAATCACACAGCCGAAAAATTCAAGTGAACTATGAAGACAAATGTGCACGAGTGAACTTTGAAGACAAATGTGTCAACAATCGATACGTTTACTTTCCACTGGTGATGTATTTGTCTCCAAAGAAATGCATCAAACACACTGTTTTTCCACGAAACCCCCATGGAGCTTGAGCCGCATGCGTGTACTGACCTGGCACTTGCCGGGACTGAGATGCTCCTCGATGCTGATGGAGCGGATGGATTCGGAGACGGGCACCAGCTTGGAGCAGTCGAGTTTGTTGACAATCACGTGGCTGAGCACGTCCCAGTGGTAGACCACGCAGCCCGGATTGGTGTACGTCCACATGCTCTGCTCTAGATCCGCGCTCACCTGTGCCGGGTGAGGGAGAGAGGGGGGGGGGGGGGAAGGGCGGTTAGATTGTCCCAGCTGTCCCGCAGCCTACCGATAGCGGAAATCAGTGAGCGGCGTATTCGCGAGCGTATTCACGAGTCAGGGGCGCATTCACCAGCTCACAAGTGAGTGAGCATAGTCACGTCCCAGGCGTAGGCGGTGGTTACTGATACGACCACCTGGTGCGAGTTACGATACACGAATGTCATCCCAAGCAGCTGAAGTGCGGCACACTTCTGCATATCTTCGCTTCAGCCGCGGTACTTAAGCAGGTTCGAATACACACACAGACAGACATGCGGGCCAGCTGGCGGCGGCAGGCCGGCGCCGGCAGGCCACGATCTCCGCCAGTCGCCCAGGTCGGCACGAGGCTGGCGCGGCGCCCACCTGCGAGTCCGTCGGCGACAGCAGCAGCAGCACGTCCATGTTGGGGATGGGCGGGTGGTAGTGGTTGATGACCTCCTGCGAGACCACCACCTGGTCCTCCAGCGTGAAGACGGAGACGGCGCCGGAGCTCTGGCCGCACCAGATCTCGCACCGGCTGTCCGACAGGGGAGCGGGGAGGTCAGTCATGGCTGCAGTCAGCGGCCGAGCTGGCCAACAGGGTCCAGCGCTTGGCTTCAGCCAGCGAGCGAGCCAAGCCCAGCGAGCGTCCGCCACCAGGGAGCAGCGGTAAGACGCCTGTGGGTCTCCCAGCCTACGCCGAGTCGGACCGCGAGACACGTGCTTGCGTGCGGTACGCCGGGCGGTCGAGTGCGGTGACCTCACCCCGGGGTGCTCTGTTTGTGTGAATAATGTGTGCCTCGATGATGGGACTAGTCCGATAATGAATACAGCGTCGCTAACCACAGGGCCAATTACGTCCCCGAGCGCGGGACAGTCACCCAACTATCTAATAAAGCCACAAGGGCGATGGGGAGCGAGCCAAGAGAGGGGCAGAGCGTGTGAGGGAGTGGAGACGTGGGATCGCGTGTGTCGTGCCATCATCCTCACCTGCCGTCGGCGGAGAGGTGGGCGCGCACACAGTGCAGCTGGCCGCCCAGCGTGCCCAGCTCGGTCATGACGAAGCTGCCCTCGCCGCGGGTCGGGCTGTTCGGCAGCACGTCCGACCTGCGGCCGGCGAGGAGGGCTAGTGAGCACGAGCCCGGCCGGTCGACAGGCGCCACACCACGCGCCAACAGCTCTGCTAAGGCATGCACAGACCTCTTCCAGGCCATTCAAAATGAGCTATTTCTGTCATCGCCTGCAAAGATCGGCGCGGGAACGAATTTCTGAGGTCAGTACATCAATTACTTGCCACCCACGGGAACAATGTCCATGAACATGACAAAGGCAGTGCTCCTCGAGTGGTCACCACTCATCGACCATTTCAGAATGCCAGTGCGCACGATCGCCGGGGCCCTAGCGCCGTCCGCCCCGCCCACTGCCGCAAACGAAACCGCCGACAGGTCGGGAGCGTGCCTCGGGTCCGCGGGCGGCCGGTTGTCCCCGCGCCTGACTGGGGCACGGAGGCAGCGGTGAGCGCCGACCAACCTTGTGATGAAGAGCCGGCCGTTGGCCAGCGACACGGCCACCCGGTCGATGGCGGCGAGGGCGCAGATGTCGCGCACGCCGGCCGGGTCCGAGCTGTCCGGCTCCAGCGTGTACGTGAACACCTCCTCAAACGTGGACGTGCTGCGCGGCAGCGCACCCGGGAGGTTACGGGCGCAATGGCAGTCGTCACACGCACGAACATGGGCGGGCTGCCCGTTCATGGGGACGGCGACAATATCAGTCGTTTGGGGACGGGCGGAGATCGGGCGCGATCGTCAATGTGCCGTCCTGTCCGTAGCCACAGACGAGTAAGTTCGCAATTTAATGGTCGGCCAATAACAGCGGAAGGTAACGTTTTCGGACGAGCTCGGCACTAAGACTCACGGAAACTTCCCGACGCTCACCGCCAAGGACCATGGACAGAGTGAAACTCTGCCACCTCCTTCGATTTCACCCGTCCCCCCCCCCTCAAAAAAAAACGCACACACACACACAAACAGTCAAGACGACTAGCACGAACTGCTAGTCGGCGCTTGATTCATAGGCGCAGGGAATGTATCAAGCCGACCACCAATCAGCCACCGTAGCGGACCATTGCCGATGGCGGAGATGGACAGATCGAAGCTGCCGGGAGAGGCGTGGCCACTGACCAGTAGCCGCGGATCTGTCCGCGCGCGTCGCCCACCCAGACGCTGGCGCCGACGACGGCCAGCGCGCTGGCCGCCTGCGGCAGCACCAGGCTGTGGTAGTCGGTCGCCTGGTGGTCCCGGCAGGTGAGCACGTCCAGCGTGCAGCCGCCGCGCGCCACCCACAGCTGGTGGCTGCCGACGCCGCCGTCGCCGCCTGAAGCACACAGCCGGTCGGCGCAGGGCCTTCAGAGCGTGCGTCGACAGGGGATGTCTCCGCACGTGGCCAGCCGACAGGGGACGTGCTGCACCCAGGTCAGTCAACATTTGTCAGCTGTGATCGGCTGGCCGGCCCCCGCTTGATTCACCAACAGAGAGACTGGCCGACAGTTCGTGACTGAAGCTAGGCTCGAACTGACAGTTTGACCTTTATGAGGGAGCATTAGCAGCTCTCCGAAAAACTCAAATGCATCACTGACATCGAAACAATAGTCCTTGCAGCAAGTCGCACCACGCCACCATCACCATCGCCACCTCGGCCGCCGACTGACCGGCGGCGGCGGCGGTGTAGAGGGCGGTGGCGGCCAGCACGCTGTGCGGCAGCTCCAGCGGCACCACGTCCCGCAGCTGCGTTAGCTCCGGCGCCGCCGTCGTCGACACGATCTGGCTGGCCGAAGGCCGCGCGCGCGGCTGCTGGTCCCAGCACAGCACCATGAGATCCAGCAGGTAGGTGGCCGCGGTCGCCTCCTGCCGGCCGGCGCGCGCAACACCGTCAACATCGGTTACAACGGTGCAACCCCGAGAAGATGCGGAACTGACAGGCCACGCTCGTCTAGTTACATCTGAACTGATCCTTTGTGAGGTTGGACCTAATAGAAAAACCAAGGCGACAACAGCGACAATCACATTTTCAGGATGAAGAACTCGATGGTTAAGCCTCCAAACCGACAAGGAGCAAGAAACGAGCAACATATCATGAACATGAAGATACCAATCTCACGCAAACAAGCGCGACTCATCGCTCGTCAACGAGCGGATCAGCAGCGTGCCACGTGCCGGACAGATCGCAGGACTGATCCGAAACAGAGGTCGCGTCAGATACTGGGACAGCTTCCCGTCAGCCCACTGGACAGAACATCCCCGCCTGTTCGGGGACAAGCCCCGTCCCACAGGCCGGCGAGCATCGCTCGAGCGCCGTGGTTCACCGGGCTCGGCGCGCAGCCACCGTCAGCGGTCGGTACCTTGACCGTCAGCGGCGGCCGGTGACCCTCCAGGATCTGCTCCTTCACCGATTCGTAGCCCTCGAACGGCAGGTGGAGCGAGATCAACTCGTACAGGAACATGCCGAACGAAAAGCAGTCCACCTGCGAACACGGGCGTCGCACCTGTTACGAGACTGATGTCCTGGTGGAAAGCTCGAATGTGGATGATTGACCTTAATCGTTTCTTTGACGGGCATCTGGATGAAACAGCTCCTGACGAGTACCAATGACGGTGGCATAAAAACACTATTCACTAATGGGGCGGCAGCCTGCTAGAACGACGTCTGGCCTCAGAGACCTCCATCCAAGATCTATCTCATCAGTACGTAATCCGGACACTGCACAAGCGATGCAGCCTCTGGCTGAGCTCTCCAAGGGAGTGTTTAGTTCATGGCACATTCCAACAGTGAAATGCATTTGGAAATGGTGTCCAGTCCACATGTGCATCGCAGCATTGTCTGCCGGCATGCACCTTCTCGGTGTACTCCTCCTCGCCGTTGTAGCGCATGATTTCCGGTGCCATGAAGCCCTCGGTGCCGGCGAAGCCCTTGGTGCCGGCGGGCAGCGTCGCCCGGCTGATGCCTGCAAGCACAGCACGGCGTCAGGCCAGCTGAACCCATCGCCAGGTCAAGCCGATCTCGCCGGCCTGGCACACCACCAGGTCAGGCGACCTCACCGACCCGCCACACGCCAGGTCAGGCGACCCCGCCGGCCTGGCACGCCGTCAGGTCAGGCGACCTCACCGGCCCGCCACACCGCCAGGTCAGGCGACCCCGCCGGCCTGCCACACCGCCAGTTCAGCCGGCGCGGGACAACACCACAACAGCATCACATCGAACCACACCGAGTCAGACCCCGCGTGGTTCGATTGGCCTGACTTTCCGGTTGGTCCCACGGCCACCACATGACAGGCCCCTCACAGCCAGCTTTTCCAGCCGCAGATCCATACGGGGGCGCGGGCGGCGGCGCCGGCGGGGCGCCACTGAGCCTCAGCACCGAGCCGGAGCCGTACCGTAGTCCGCCAGCTTGACGTCGACCGGCGCCTGCTGGCGCTGGAACGGCGCCGGCAGCGACCACACCAGCACGTTCTCCGACTTGAGATCGCGGTAGATGATGTGCTGCTGGTGCAGGTACTCCAGCGCCTTGGCCACCTGCGGGCCGTGGGGGAGGGGGGCACGTCCCGGGAGTCACAGATCGGGAAGGCAGCGTCGTCGGAGGTACGGCGGCCAATGATCGAGCCCATTACAAGAGGCACGACCAGCCGCAAATGATTTTATCGCATTGCGAGCTTATGCACAACCCCACTAAATAGATACCGGATTAAACAACTCACTCACTCATCACTTTCTCACGCAGAGGTTAAGCAGCAAGTAAGAACTGTCCACAGTCGAAACTGATATTCCCCTGCAGACGACGATCAGAAGAGAGAACCCTGAGCCTAATCCGGCCACGTCCTGACCGGAAGCACCGACCTGCAGCAGGATCGTCTGCAGGGCGAGGGGAGGCAGCCGGGCGCCCGAGCGGCGGTACTGGGCCAGCGTGGCGTCCAGCGCGCCCAGCGGAGCCAGCTCCAGCACCAGAGACAGCGGGCTGGTGCACAAGCCCACCAGCGGCACTGCCCGACACACGGACGCTCAGTCAGACGTCGAACACAGTCACGCGGAGAGCCAACAACGCCTGCTGGGCCTTCGGTCCAGTGCATCACCTCCGGCCGCCGCCGTCCGCCCCGTCCGCCGGACGCCGCCAGCGTCGACTCACCGATGTAGGGGTGCCGCAGCGTGACCAGGATGTTGAGCTCCTGACGGGCGGTGCAGTAGGCCTTGCAGGCGTACTGCAGCGGGTCCCGCTCCCACTTGCTCTGCGCCGCCTGCGGTGAGGACAGGCGGCGGTGAGGCGACCCGAACCGGACAGCGCCGCCTACACACGACCGCCGTCTCGTGCACGGACCGCCGGCGAAGGCGAGGTCTGACCAGTTCAGAGCAGCGAGGCTTTCCCAGCGCCCGGGCCACCCGCCGGATCCGCATCACACTCGCCGCGCGCAGGCGGGTCACTCAGCGCGGTCCGGCGCCGCGCGCTCGCTCACCTTGTAGGCGGCCAGCGCCGAGGAGCGCGCGTCGTCACCAGGGTCGCTCGGCTGCAGCATCTTCATCGCCACGTCCATCATCCTGCCGGCAGTGCTGTGGTCAGACGCTGGCGCAGCGGCGGCCGAGTTTGGGCACGGCTGCAGGTCCCCAGCTCAGCGTGTCACGGCTCAGTGGGACCATCTCAACTGTTCACACGCTGAAGTAACCCCTCTAAATCTGAGAGTCCGGGAGACAGAGTGAAGACCTACGTGCTGCTAAGGAGCTTTTTCCAACCAGCATCTGAGTCCAAAAGTTTCAGTGGTCACTGGATCAGCCGGTCCAGTGCTTCTGTGACTATGAGATACTCCATAAAATACTTACGTTTGACATTTTTACATATTTTGTTTTAAAGATTTGGTCCGAACTTTTTCATTGAACGACGCTATAGAATCAGAGCCGACGCTAAGCAGCGCTTGCTGTGTCAGCCCTGACCTCACCATCCCATCGTGACCCGGTCGTTATGCTCAGCGTGGCCTGCCTTACCCAGCGACGTCACCTCAACTCTAACGCGGTCGCTGCCACCGGCAGCAGGCCACCCTAGTCGGAAACACATAGCGAGCGCTTACAACACGAGCCCACTCCAGCCACGGGCGGTCAAATCGAAAGATAGGCGTTCCAACGAGCCGAGCTATTGAACCCTTCATTCACACAAATAGCATCAGCATCGCCACTTCCGCTTGCATCGCGCACATGAGCGGCGGGCGGTCCGGCGCGGACGCAGGCGGGACGTGCCGGCTCGCGGGGAGGGCGGGGGGGGGGGGCTGACCTGCCGTCGTGGCGGCTGCGGCACGAGGCGCGGAACACGAAGCCGAACGCGCCGCGGCCCAGCATCGGGCCACGCTGGATGCTCTCCGGCCGCACCAGGCGCCGCTCGCCCACGTCCAGGAACACCTGCACGGGGGCACAGCGACGGGTCACTCGGCTACTTGGTCACTTGGTCACTTGGTCACTCAGCCACGCGCACATGTCAAGGGGGGGGGGAGCAGACGACGGGCGCTTGATTAGATGCAGGAACTCCTGGCAAGGGGGCAGGTGGCGGGCAGCCGTCGGCGCCTAAAAACATCTGGGCAGGGGCACAGCTACCGAGCACAGAAGATCAGGTCAAGAAACGGCACACTGAGGTACGGATCGCGGTCACTCGCCAGCTCCAGAAACAAACGACAGATGGACGGGCGGCGACCACGCCGACTGATCATCGTGCCAAAACAGAACGCTAACCGTACAGATGAACACTCGGCGCGAGTCGCACAGGCGCGACGGGGACGAGCAGGGGACCAGGAGCTGACGTCACACAGGGCACCAGCCGGCCGTCTCACAGCCGCGCAGGACACTGAAGGGGACAGCGGAGGACCGCGGCCAGCTGAGCGTGCCCCTCCCCGGCACCCACCGTGTCGGGCGCCACCTGGGCCAGCAGCAGCGGCCCGTGCGCCGGACACTGCACGTGCCGGCTGCTGTAGCTGACCAGGATGCACTCCTCCACCAGGAAGGCGTACACGGTGGGCGGCCGCGGCGGCGAGGGCGGCCGCGGCGGCGGCGGCGGCGGCGCCGGCTCCGGGCGGCCCTGGGCCGACGGATTGCGGCTGGAGGGCGCGCTGTCCGGCCCCACCCCGCTGTCGCCGTCCGAGTGCTCGGACGCGTCGCCACCGCCCCGCTGGCGCACCACCTCCGGCAGCCAGTCGTCCTGCGGCGGCCGACAGCTGTCACAGGAGCGACACTCGACCGGCCAACGGCAGACCGTGTCACGTGGCGCGACAGGGCACAGGCAGCGAACGGTGGACTGTGTCACGTGACGCGGCAGGGTGAAGGCGGCGAATGGCGGACTGTGTCACGTGACACAGCTGGGTACAAGCAGCCGTCTCCGGATCACAGCCAACAGCTGGTCATAACCAGCTCTCTTTCAGCATACTGTCCACATTTATCGACATGTTTTCCAACGTCACGGCCCTCATAAAAAGTCAGTGAAGCCGAGCCGCCGCCCCAGTACCTGGTCAGCGGGTAGAGTCGGCGAGGGGGGTGGGGAGGGCGGCGGCGGCGGCGGCGGAGAGGGCGGCGGCTCCATCCCGTCGGCGTCGTCAGCGGCGGCCGGTAGGCAGGCCGGGCACGGCAGCAGCCGCGTCACCAGCAGCCGACCCTCCGACGTGTGTACGAACCGCGTGCCTGCCGGGACACGCCAGTAACGTCATCGGTGACTGCTGGGATAGGCCAGTAACGCCGCCAGTGGCTGTCGGGACACGCCAATGACGTCACCATACCGGTGACGTCACCGGTGGCTGTCAGACGAACCACGGATGCCGCTCCACTCGGCGGCGCCGCGAGCGTCACACGGTTACCGCTCCCGCAGTTTTCCGACTGCACCGAGCCTAGACCGGCCCAGACCTCATGCCCAGCAGGCTTGGACAATAAAAACCGCGGCAAGGTATCAACACAGACAGGGCGCTGCACACACGAAAACAAACCGCTGTAGCGGTCAACGGGACTGGACATATCAACGAGAGCTGTTCGATCTTATTGTATAATATAAGGCCAAGGATATATTCAAACACCAACGCACAATAGGCGTGCGCATTGCCAGAATTGCTTTTTGCTTCAGATGGCGGCACCATAAGGTTTAAGTCTATACATCGGCGCCATGGTGGTACCAGCACGTGGTGCAGCTTCCCATAGACCATATGTTAAACCCACAGCAGTTTGTAGACATACTGCAGCGTACAGGGGGGGGGGGGGGGGGGGGGGGAGGCGGGACAGTTACCTAAACGAAAAGACACTGTAGCTCTCTATACCCTTTATTCATTGACCTGTCAGTAGGCCCATCCTCTTCACCAGACGGACGGCTGACCTCGAGAGATGGGTCGGTTGGAGCGGCCCCGAAACACACCCCGCTGACCATCCAGGTCATTTGATGGGGCAAATTAGCTACCCGTGTACACCTGGCCCACAAGAGCGGTGACACAGCAGTGACCAGCCGAGGAGAAGGAGCACGGCGTCGTGGCTACACACTGGCGCACCAGCTGCAGGGCGCCGAGAGCTGACGGCACTGACCGAGCGCGGGGTACCAGTCCTCCAGCAGGGTGTCGATGTGGTCGACGGCCATCGCCAGCAGCTTGGAGGCGCACTCCGGGTTGGGCTCCAGCACCACCGACTGAATGCCTGCCGACGGGCCCGTCGTCACCGACTCGCCACTGACCAGCGCGTGCAGGGCTGCTCTAGCGCGCACCACTTCCACTACCGGTCGGTTATGACGTCACTCTGACAGGCTTGGCTAGCCCACGGCTTCAACTCGCATAATATGGGTTTCATGACTATGATCAAACCGTGAACCTCCAGCAGCCCGAAGACCCAATGTACCACGCTTGAACAGAACATGGTGTCGGAAACCAAACCTGGCTCCCAGATATTGAATGAGAGGCCAGTTTGGTGCGAACTGGGATGATCAACGCCTGTATCGCCCCGCAGTGGAGCTATGTGTAACATTAGAATTCACAGCGAATATGAAGTTTAAAATCAGCATGCACTAACAGAGGCCGGTTTCGGAAACCAAAATAAGCAATCAGAGATTGTTTCTCAGTTCTTTTGCTCCGGCCTACGATGATGAAAGCCTGTTTCTGAGCACTTAACATGCTTAACGTTTCGCGAAGTTAATGCCAGATCCAGATTCCTTACGTCATTCGCCGCGCAGTTGCAACGAAAATGTGGTGGCGTTTCATATCGGCCCCAAGGAAATAGTATGTACTGAATGGCAACTCCTGCTGTGCAACATTTACTTCAGATGAGCAGAACGCCCAGTCTGAGCTTCTACAGCAGCACACTCCCGAAGGGAATCCCGCCACCTCTGAAGCATCGGAGAAGGGGAGTATAACACGCTCACTCTGCGGTGTCTCGTCCCCCCCCCCCCTCCCCCCTGAAGCTGCGTGCGGGCGGCCTACCGAAGGCGGCCGGGTCATCCGCCTGCGGTAGCGACCGTCGGATGACGATGGTCTCGTTGGGTAGCGTCACCTCCAACACGGCCGCGCTCGAAGTCAGCACCTCCTGCCACTGTCCCTCCTGACAGGCCAGCAGTCTGGGGACACGGAGCGAGCGGTGTCAGAGGTGACCTCGAGGTCAGCACTTCACAGGGACACAGGACGACGGTTCAGGCCAACTTCAGACCGGCCAGTTCCTCAGACCGTTCATACTCTAAGAGACGTGTGGGTGTCTCCTGCCTGACGGCTGGTTGCTGACAACGCAATAGTCGCCATAGGCTTGAACACGCTCCAAAGAGGCACACAGATGCCACAGCAACGCAATCAGAGCACATGAATGCAAAAATAGAAATATATAACAACGCTGTACCTCGGCGCACTGGTAACGCATGACAAACAGTGTATCGCCCCCTTGCTGAACGATCGGTGTAACATTCCCTGGCAGCAGCCGCGCGGCCGGCACAGCGCCGGGCGGCCGCCGGGCGGGTCGCGGCGCCGGTACCTCATCTTCCTGTAGTCGGGCGAGTAGCGCAGGTATCCGAGCAGCTCGCGGATGCGGATGAGCGTGGTGTTGGCGTACTGGAGCTCGATGCCCGTCTGCCAGCAGCGCCACTCGGCCGGCCCAGCCAGCACCGACGACAGCACGGCGTCCTGCTGCACCTGGCCGGCACGCACCGCTCGCCGTGAAGACCAGCCGCGACTGCCGGCCCGCACACGCCACACACCAGACCAGCCGCGGTGGCTGGTCCGCACACGCCACACACCAGACCAGCCGCGGCGGCCGGCCCGCACACGCCACACACCAGACCAACCGCGGCGGCCGGCCCGCACACGCCACACACCAGACCAGCCGCGACGGCCGGCCCGCACACGCCACACACCAGACCAGCCGCGGCGGCCGGCCCGCACACGCCACACACCAGACCAGGCGTGGCGGCCGACTCGCACACGCCACACACCAGACCAGGCGTGGCGGCCGACTCGCACACGCCACACACCAGACCAGGCGTGGCGGCCGACTCGCACACGCCACACACCAGACCAGCCGTGGCGGCCGGCCCGCACACGCCACACACCAGACCAGCCGCGGCGGCCGGCCCGCACACGCCACACACCAGACCAGCCGCGGCGGCCGGTCCGCACACGCCACACACCAGACCAGCCGTGGCGGCCGGTCCGCACACGCCACACACCAGACCAGCCGCGGCGGCCGGTCCGCACACGCCACACACCAGACCAGCTGCGGCGGCCGGTCCGCACACGCCACACACCAGCTCGCCCAGCGCTCTGGCCAGACAGACAACACGGCGACAGCACGCCAGGTGTGGAGAAGCTGCACCTTTGTATACCCGAGGATATGGAGCCCGCAAAAATGCAGTAGCAAAGGTTGAATGATGTACAGACTGAAGACGTGTCCTAGCGCAAATAATCTATGTAATTAGCTTTCCGCTTTATATGTTCCAAATCCAAAGGATGACTTCAATCAATTGGGATCTGATCTGACCAATTTTACATGAGACACCATGCCACGAATTTAAAACGAGGCGACGACAGCTCTTCGTCCTGTATGCCATTCAAGTGACATTAAGATCGCAGTTCATGTGCTGCACGAGCAGATACTGAGTGCGTCGACACTTACACCCACGCCTCCCCCCCCCCCCCCTTCCCAACCCTCCCCAACTCTTCACACTGTGAACCTAAAATACGATAATGTTACTTGATTCTGACGTCCCGCCGCCTTGAGACCAGTGTCAGCAGCGTGCGCCAGCCGGCGGCGCCGCCCCGCCCCGCCTCACTCTTACGGTACCCCTACCGTCCGCAGCTCACCTGTCGCGGCACCAGGAAGAAGGCCCGGATGACGTCCACGATGACGTCGTCGGCCAGCAGGCGGGTGAGCAGGCGCGACCAGAAGCCGCTCGGGAAGTAGGTCATGATGAGGAGGCGGCGGACGGCGGCTTGGGGCACCGCTCGCCGGCTCACCGTACACTGGCCATCGGACCCTGTGGGCGCCGGCGACGGCCGCTCAGTGCAGCCGCACTGCCAGTGTGCCCGGACACCGCAGACGCAAGCTGATAGCATGTCCGGACACCACAGATGCCCGCTGCTGGCGTGTCCGGACACCGCAGACGCCCGCTGCTGATGTGGCCGGACACCGCAAACGCCCGCTGCCGGCGTGTCCGGACACCGCAAACGCCCGCTGCTGGTGTGTCCGGACGCCGCAGATGCCCGCTGTCGGCGTGTCCGGACACCGCAAGCGCCTGTTGCTGGTGTGCCCGGATACCGCGGACGCACGCTGCTGGTGTGTCGGGACACCATAGACGCCCGCTGCTCGGGTGTTTACGTCCATGTGATGGGTTGCGAACCACTCACGCAGTGCGGACGTCAGAGCATCGAACCCATCCCACGTGTATCGCGGCTTGGCAAATTCGGTATCGACGTCGAGACAGCCAACCCAGCCTGTGGCAGCATTCAGCCGACTCGAAGTGCGCGCGTCGCGACCCCACAAAGCGGGCGTGGGTGCCGGACCCGAGAGCCCCGCGTCTGTCGACAGGTGCGGGGCCGGACGTCGGTGTGGATAGCAGTTCAGTGCGGTCGGACGGACCGGCGGTACCTGGCGCCGGCTGGCCGTCGTCCGCGGAGCCGGAGCCGGAGCCGGCGGGGACGGAGCCGCCGGAGCCGGAGCTGGAGCCGCCGGGGCCGCCGCCGGAGCCGCCGGACCCCGCCACCGGCGGCGCTGCGGCCGACTTCTTCCGCAGACCCCAGGCGCGGGACCGCACGGGGATCTGTGCAGTCGGAAGGGAAGCCACGTCATGCCGCTGGCGGCAGCAGGGGCACGGCTCCGCGCGGACAGCGGACGCGCGGTCAGCTGATGATACACTATCGGAACCCGACAATCGAGACAAGTGTACCGCTTCCACGATGCGGTATCCCCTCACTCACATAGGACACATAGTCACACCGGAGTCACAACACAATCAGAACCGGTGGGTGAATACAACAATACACTGATGCAAGGCCTACACGTGTCACGCAAATGGCATTTCACCCACAACAAACACGAGCAGAGCAGACGCCTAGCGCGTCCAGATCTATCGGCAGCATACTCCGTCGGGGCCAGAGGGTCGTGCCGGGAGTACGGCTGGCGTCGGCCGCCGCGTCGCTGGCGGCGTGACGGGTCGCGTTGTTAGCGGCGCGGCGTGCTCTACGGTGTTAGGCGGTCGGCCGTGCCCCGGCTGGCGGCCGCCGGCCGCGGGCCGACCTCTGACCTTTACCCTGACATCCATGCCGGGCACGCCGCCGCGCAGCATCTCCTCGGAGGGTAGCAGGCTGGGGATAAGCAGCGTGCGACCGTCCCACGTCACCGCCACCTCGAACTTGTCCAGCAGCGAGATCATGTACGACTTGGCGTCGGCCGGCGCGCACGTGGACGACTTGAACACCAGGGAGACGTCCTCCAACCGCATCACGCCTGCGGAAGTGCGGCAGGGTGCTGTAGGACGTCTCGGGCGGCGTCGGCGGCGACGGAGGCGCACGTGCGGGGATAGCCCGCGCGCACACGGCTCCATCAAACAGCCGCACCATGCGCCCGGCCAGAGCAGCTGCACGCGCCGGCACGCTGGCGCTCAGGCCCGACACGTCAACAGAGCATAGCTGTACTTCTCACAAACACAACACAAATGGCCTATTCGCCGGATTTCTCACCACAAGAATCGTAACGAAGTATGGCGGACGGCTCACGCACAAGGACACGGCGCGATCCATGCGCGCTTGTGATTCCGCAAACGACAGCGTGATACCCTCCCAACACACGCGTCATTCGTCCGTCGCCGGCACCGGGCGCCGGCGGGGCGCGCACCGTTTCTGGCGAACGGGTTGATCTCGCGGACTGTGACGACGTGGGCGAGCATGTCGCACAGCCACTGCGGGTCCAGGAAGTACAGGTCCTTCAGCGTCGCGTCGTCGTAGTGCAGCACCACACCTGCCACGGAGGGGCGGTCAGCGGGCGTGATCGGAGCCGAGGGGCTGGTATGCGTGACATCACCAGACCACGCCCACACCCACGGCCAGTCGAAAGGCATCAGGCTTGGTCACGAACGGCATTTTACGACCTATTTTATGGTGACTCGTTGCGTACCGGTATATACGGCATTTTACGACCTATTTTATGGTGGCTCGTTGCGTACCTGTATATTGTTTTCAGCTTCACCCGGCGGTCTGCCGCACCATATGACATGCTGTGTAAATCCAAATAGCGCATGTACCAAAGAGCAGCACACAGCAAGGCCGGGACGCGGAGTGACTAACGGACACTCAAAGCCCAGTATTGACACCGCTATTCTGATCACTAGGGTTCCACCTCTGGCCGACCCGGAGGGCGCAGCACGGCGGCCGTACCGTTCTCGTGCAGGAACGCCGTCGCCTGGTTCAGCTCGGCCGTGTCCCGGAAGCGCAGGTCGAACCGGCTGGCCATCTCGCGGATCACCAGGGCGCGGTACTGCTCGCCCCTCAGCACCGGGTCACGACCTGGGGTCGGCGACACGTCAGCCGCACGGACCGGTGACCCGGGCGCCGCAGTGCGACCGCGGTCAGCAGCCTCCCGTCCGTCCCGTCCACCGCCCGGTGACGACGGCGCAGCGTCCTCACCCGAGGTCAGCCTACAGCGCCTCAGGCGCACCTGCCACCGGGCTGAGGTCACGCCTCAGCCCGCGCCGGGGGTCGGCGGCCCTGCCGGCGCGGCGCGCGTCCTCACCCTGGAAGTGACGCTCGGTCGCCAGGTAGGAGATGACGTCCTCCAGGGCCAGGTAGGTGGCCGGGATGCGCTGGTCCAGCAGCCGCTCCTTGCTCCCTGGGCCAACACAAAACATCTCGCATTGGTGCACACCTTTAGCATGTGGCTCAGTTCGGCAACTACCTCACGCCTTAAGTATGTAGTTAAGCGCCTCAACTGGTGCACTCCCTGAGCATGTAGTTAAATTCGGCAACTAATTCTATAATCTCATACGTTGTGCACATGCGATTTGGTGCTCATATTACTGGCATCATGCCCGTTCACTCTCGTTTACATGCTTTAAATATGTTCTCGCCTTCAGGCACAACACCAAGGAGAGCGTGTCGAACGCGCTGCGAGCGTGGCAGCGTGGGAGCCAGAAGCCGTCTTCAGTTGGGAAGCCCCGAACACCGATCAACCACAATTCCGAACGCAGCCACAAAAGTCCACAAAACTAACGCAAACTCCCGCGTCGATAGACGACCTATTCCACTAACAACCAGGCCAACTGCAGTCAAGTCTGAATGACAACAACGATGTATGAATCTCAGCCACATGAATACACCGGTTATCAGCAGCGTCAGAGACGCGCAGCTCTCCCCGCGGACACCCTCGACGGTCACGCCGCGAGAGGCGCTGCATCCCCTGCGCACCGGGCGACTTCAGGCTGTAGACGGTGTCGTAGATGAGGTTGCAGAGCAGGCGGATGTTGTGGCGGGTCTTGCAGCTGACCTCGATGGTGTCCAGCACGCGCGGCAGGCCACACTTGTCGGCGTCCACCAGGCTGATGAACCTGCCGCAGCACCCACAGATGACCATCAGCACCGGACAACGGCAACGGAGCATGGGATCAGAGATGGCGCCACCCACAGCCGGCCATCAGCACCGGACAACGGCAACGGAGCATGGGATCAGAGATGGCGCCACCCACAGCCGGCCATCAGCACCGGACAACGGCAGCGGAGCATGGGATCAGAGATGGCGCCACCCACAGCCGGCCATCAGCACCGGACAACGGCAGCGGAGCATGAGATCAGAGATGGCGCCACCCACAGCCGGGCAACGAATGACGTCATGACAGGCAGCTTTTGAACAACTTAGCATCATAGATAAGACAGTAGCAATAGCCCTATTCCTCGGAGAGAAAAAAAAGAATGGAGAAATAGATTGGCTGATATTTCGGCACCATGCCTTTATAGAAACAACAGCAGAAGATGCCTTTCTATATTAATTTAAGCAATCTTCTGCTATTGTTTCGATAAAGACATGTCGCCGAAATATCAACCCATCTACCTCTCCATTCTCCTTGTTTTTCTCCGAGGAATAAGGCTATCACTACTGTCTTATCTATGTGAATAATGTTCCTCGCGAATCCACTGAACAACTTACAAATCAGCAACACCAAGCCGGTTCAGAGCTTGTGAAATGAAAACTGAATGAATGAGTCATTTGAACGCATTCGAATCAGCAACACTCGCGGAAAATGATGAGATCAGCTAACGCTAAGGTAACAGAACTAAAAAGCCCCAACAGCAGGGCCTCTCGTGGCGCAATGACTTTATAACCAGATGCCAACGAGCTGATCCATATAAGAGAAACCACGTTACCCAGCTTTGGGACATACCGCTGGACCGAGCACCAGCATTACAAAACACACGTCTTACGGCGTGCCTGAAGGCAGGACGACCGTGACGTCACAGCATGACCACAACGGGGGAGCGGGGGGGGGGGGGACACCACAGCCGGACGTGACGGCCGTCACGCACCGGTCGCGGATGAGCCGCTGCAGGTCTTCGCAGTAGTTGGCCGGGTACTTGTCCCGGATCAGGTCGTAGTGCGTGCCCACGATGATGACAGGCGAGTTGGGCGCGCGCGCCTGGCAAACGGACGGAGCGCACCGGTCAGGGATGGCCACAGCTGCCACGGGCGAAAACACGTAGCACAGAGCACACGAGCGCAGCACGACAACACATTCATCATTCTATTTTTCAAGCATCCCACCTATCGCTGAACGTGTGTCATTGCGGCTCTACGACGCACTCAGCTGCTGAGGCTTTATGGCGCCGCCTGCCTCTCACCCTGGCAGGAAGGGCGGGCACCGCAGGGAATCGAACCCCGTACCTCTGGTTTCCCAGACGCGCAGTGGTTAATGCAGACGCGTTGACCACTACACAACCGGCACCCCCTCTCGCTGAGCCGCGCGCTCCCCCAGACGAGCTCGTGCCGACTCCTAGCTCCGTCCACAAACTGATCACCATATGGATGAACGAAGCCCTCGGACACCGCAATGAAGCACCGCGGGTCGCAAAGGCCGCGGGGATGTGCTCGTGTGCCTCACGGTCCGGCGTGTCTCGGCCGGCACGCCGCTCCGGGCCGGACGGCCGCTGCGCCGGTGCGGTGGCCAACGCACCTGTATGTTGACGAGCCACTGCTGGATGTTGTTGACGCCCTTCTGACCATCGGGGATGCGCCATACCACCAGGTACAGGCTGCGCCGCGACAGGAAGTACTGGTGCGTGGCGTAGTACTCCCGCTGGCCGCCAAAGTCCCACGTCCTGCCGACACGGGCGCACACTCTGAGCCCCGGCCGACTGGCTGGCGCAGATGGCGGCGAGTGTGGTGCAGGCGCTCACCGTAAGTGGACGCCATGATAGGACGCCGGAATGAATGACGCCTCGGAATTTCGCCACGGAATGGCGACGGTGGGCCTTCGGAGGTGGCGAATAGTGCTGTCGCGTAGTCAGAGCGTCACGCTACCCGCTGGCTTTCCTTCGTGACGATGTGAGACTGACATCCGCCCTGCCTCACGTACGGAATCCTCAGTACTGATCCGAGCCACAGCAAGCAGTCTCCGACGCAAGCAGTCAAACCAAGAGTCACAGGAAATGAGGCTCGAAACAACGCCCGGTTTCAGAGACTGGCACTAAGATGGAGCGCAGACACATCGTCCCACCCTAACCGCAACAGGACAGATCGGCCAAAGCCCGTCATCAGACGAGCGTGACCAAGTCGGCAGCGAGCGTGACCCTAACCTGGCGAGCCACCTCCATCTCCATGTACGCCGTGGAGCACCATCTCCATCGCCATGCACGCCATGGAGCGTGCCCAAGTCGGGCGCCGTGCGAGGTCTCACCGGAACGTGACGGGTCCGTGCGAGCTGTGGCCGCGCACCCTCTTCTCGTACACCCAGTCCCCGATGTCGACACCCACTGTGCTCAGCGTCGTGCCCGTGGCCGTCTTCAGGTTCATGTTCTTGTTGCCCATGCGCTTCGCCCAGTGCTGAAGCGAAGCCAAGGTGGTGTCATTAGATGCGACGGAGAAGAAGCAGAAATGGCAACATTGTCAATGATGCATTTTAACCCACCCACAGTCCGGCAAAAGTAGCTCGCCTGCACATACATCAGAGAGTAATACTGAAACACCCAACGTCCTGAAGCGTTTCGTTCCTTCATAGCGTAGCCTGCGCTCCCGCATGTTGCAGGTATGCAAACATCCTGCACACTATACTGACACGCATGGAACATCCACATCGATTATTTCAACAGGTACGCCATGGAGCCAAAAAATAAGAACAAGCCTTAAAAGGCAAGAGTGCAAACCAAACGATAAGAGACATAAAGCACTCAGCCACAGCATGGGCCCTCAATACAGGACGCCATCAGACAACACCCAGGGGGCGCACCTCGGGCGGCCGCTTCTTGTAGGACCCGGTGCCCTCGGCCCGCAGCTGCTCCAGCAGTGACGTCTTGCCGATGCCCTGCACGCCGACGATCATCAGCTTCATCCGGGCGTAGAGCCGGGCGTCCTCCAGAACCGACTGCAACGGCAGCCAGAGCGGTGCAGTGGTCTGAGGCGTCGTCTCATGATCCCGAAGTTAACGCTTGTTCGGCGCAGAACGCTCCAAACGACGTTTTTCAGCCCTCCACCAACAATTGAGCGGGGTGGAATACTAGTCGTTGGGGGCATTTTCGGTACTGAGCGGGGTTTCTCATCTCATCACCGTAATTGGGTACACTACCAACAGTCGTTTATGTCTATCGACGCGTCAAGCTGTTGATGAAGCTCGCGTCGTCGCCCCTTAACATGTCACCGCCGGCGCGCTGACCTTCAGGTAGCCGACGACGTCCATGGTCTTGTACTTGTTGGAGTCGATCATGGTCTTGAGCGGCTCCTGGAGCGAGCAGCCGCGCGTGTTCAGGTTCCACAGCCGGTTCAGCAGGCCCATCTGCGGTGGCAGCTCGCAGATCCCTGCCGCAGAGGCGAGGCTGGGTCAGGCCGGCCGCCGTACGGCTCCTTCTACGGCGCGGCACCGCGCGCTCCAGCCGGCCGGCGCCGGCCTCTGGGCCAGCGGTCCCAACAGGCACCCGGCGTCACGTCATCTCCAGACCGTCAGCCTGCTGACAGTACTGCCATCGAGCCCGAGCGTGCTGCGCTACCAGCCTGGCGCGGATCTGGCATGTCGTGCTCACCGGACCAGAATGCTGGCGTAGTATGAGAGGGAGCCGCGAGGCGCTCACAGCTTAACTGCATGTCGTATAGGCACTCACTGTTTCAGCGCACGACCTGATCAAACGGTCTAATGGCGTACTCATACATTTGTACCCACTGGACGCGCAAGACATGTTGACTTCAGAACGTTTTCAGTACAACATGTGACACAAATTTCTCAGAGATACAACCGGTGTATTTGTAGTATTTTACCCATTAATATTCTGGTCGATCAGCAATTGTAGTAATTGTTACCAAGCGATTTCAGGACGATCTTCGGTAACGGCAGTTTGTTTGAGCAGACAGGTCCCGATAAAAGGCCCGCCCCGCTCGACACGGAAAGACCCTGTTTATTTGAGCCTCTGATACGCAGGCCCGGAGACCGGCCCCGCCGAGGTGCCCAGCCTCTGACCGGCGCGTGTCGCGGCGTCGGCGCGCCACGACTCGCCTCCGACGGCGCCCACCGCCAGGCGGAGCGGGCGTAGAGCCGGGGAGTGATGCTCACCCTCGTTGCCGCTGATGTTGAGCACGGACAAGTTGGTGAGCTCGTGGATGTTCGCCGGCACGCTGTGCAGCTGGTTTTTGCTCAGGTCCAGCATCGACAGGTTGGGGAACATGAGGCGGGTGCGCTCGTGGTGCGCCGACGTCTGCCGGCCCGGCCGACACGCGCCCGGTCACACGCGGTCATCGGGCAGTCATCAGCGGTCATCAGCGGTCATCGGCGGTCATCAGGCGGTCATCAGCGGTCATCGGGCGGTCATCAGCGGTCACACGCGGTCATCAGCGGTCATCGGGCGGTCATCAGCGGTCATCAGTGGTCATCAGGCGGTCATCAGGCGGTCATCAGCGGTCATCGGGCGGTCATCAGCGGTCATCAGCGGTCATCAGGCTGTCATCAGCGGTCATCAGCGGTCATCAGCGTCAGCCAGCCTGGCCCGTAGTCCTCCGCCCCGACAGACACGCGGCGGTGACGGCCCCGGGTGGTTAATTGATCAAAACACGGCCTGACAGCGGTACAGTGACGCACAGCTAGGCCGCTATTACGGAGCGCCACAGCAATAGCCGTCCAAGTGACGGCAGGTCTTCCAAGGGCGGCCGTATCTTTTAAAAACATTGCAAGTTGTGATTTATTACTGCACGTCCCGAATAACCGAAAGGAATGTGAATAATAGCAAGGTCGCGATGGCTGTTATCGCAAGCACACAACGTAAAACAAGGTCAGCCAGCACACACAATTGCCGTCGTAAATCAGACCACAGAGCGGCCACAGCACTGCGTTGCTTCCGCTCACCGCGGGCGAGGCGCCGTCCATCTCGTGCCGCGGCTGGTTCAGCTGCACCTCAGTCAGCTGATTGTCGGCCAGCACGAGCGTGCGCAGCGCCTCGAAGCGCCGGTGGCGCCGGTGCACGCAGGTGTGTACGGCCGAGCCGGCCGCGTCGGCGCCTGCGCGCATCGGCACACGGGGTTACAGGGGACAGAGGGTGGAGATAGACTGGCGGGAGCGCCGCTGATTGGACGCGGCGCCTCTCGAGGGCGGCGACGTCGCTTTGAGGCGGCTTAAAGTACAGTCACAATCCAAGCCACCCCTGCTGATAAATGAGAAGACGCATGGCGGTCGTCGTGTGCAACAAATGTATCCAGCTGCATTCTCAACAAAATGTTGCTTCACATTCAGAACATTTTTCTAGATGTTATCGATTTACTCCGAAGCGTTTCTTTGGGCGACTTTGGATTTAAATAATTTTCAAGACAAGGGTTGTCACGCGTACCTCGAACCCAACATCCAAGCAGTGCCGCCCCGCTGAGCGGATTGTCTCAGTCCAGCCCTTCCCCAGACAGCACTCCGGAGGTGTTACACGCCACACAACACCACAGCACGACCGCCCCGGAGGTGAGGCGACCCCGGTGGCCCGCCGCCAGGCTGCCCTCGTCATGACAGTCGGGTCGCATCACGCGCCGCTCCGGGACCTGCACCCGGCCGGATACCGAGCCTGGCATCTTTCTCGTAGACGACTGGGGCGCTTTCACACCAAACCGGCCACAGACTGGGGGTTTCAACAGACACGACCGCGGCGCAGCCGACCGTCCGTACCGCACACGCTGACGATGCACTTGTTGGTGTCGCCGGCGGCGTAGCAGCGGCGCTGGCGGCCGGTGGCCGGCTCGGCGCCGTGCCAGAAGGCGGCCGGCTCGGGCCACGCGCCCACCTGGTTGTGGGAGGCGTCCAGCTGCTTCAGGGTCGCCGGGAAGTCGCTGACCGACCCGAGGTCAGTCAGGCTGAATCGGGGGAGTGTCGTGTCAACGCCGGTGCGGCCTCGGTCGGCCACGCAGCGGGACGAGAATGGAGAACGGAGCGGCCCTAAATAGGCGTCAGCATGGTGGTGGGAAGACGCCGAAGTCGTCTGTCCTGCCTCCCCAGATTCGATCTCGACGGGCAGTAAGCGGTTGAGACGAGTTTCCAGAAAACTACACCACGCTTTTGCTGATGTGCTTCTCGGTAAACAAATATACATAGCTCATCACCACATCAATCAAAATAAGTCCTTTAACGTTTTCTTAATGTAAAAATCCATAATACATCACACCGCCACCACCCTGACCTTCGACCAACTCTTACAACCACCCAAACACCCTGACCCGGTGGTGGTTAGTAGGGGGCGGGGCGCACAGCCTTGCGCCTCCGACCACAGGTCGCCCCCGGCCGGCGGCGGGCTGGACACCGGCGGACTGACCAGTTGTAGGCCAGGTTGAGGCGGGTCAGGCTGACGGCCAGGCAGGCCAGGCCGACTGGCAGCTGGCTGAAGCGGTTGTGTGACAGGATGAGCGAGTGCAGGCGGGAGCTGGACTGGTCCTGCGCCGTCAGCTGGGCCGACGGGCCGGCGTCGGTCACCTCCAGCCGACCCCGCCAGGCCGTGTGGTGGTGCACATCCCGCTGCCTGTCGCAGGCACGGGGACAAACAGTCGGTCACTGGTGTTCAGCCATCACCCCCCGGCGAGCGTCACCCTTGTCATAAGCAGCACTGCCATCATGGAAAGAAACCTAACGCCACTGATGAGGCTCAGCAGCTGGTAACATCGACTGGTAACACGCTATTGGTCACGGGCATGCGTCGGCCACGGGCGTGAGTCAGTCATGGACGTGCATCAGCCAGGGGCGTACATCAGCCAGGGACGTGCGTCAGCCATGGATGCGCGTCAGCCATGGATACGCGTCAGGCACGGACGTGTATCAGCCACGGGCGTGCGTCAGTCACGGACGAGCGTCTGTCACGGACGTGCGTCAGTCACGGGCCGCCAGTCGGCGCCAGCTACCGCGCTCGCCGGCCCTGTCGACCGTCACAGGCCGCCTGAGCGAGCCCGGCTCCTGGCTGCGCTGGGTCGCGTGGAGCCAGACGTGATCTCAACTGCCCCCTACCCAAGCGTGACGCCGAGTGTGACCTGGCTGAGGTGGATGGTTTGGTTTGAGTGTGACTTGGCTGCGGTGTGGGGTCTGGCTTGGTGAAGGTCCGTTTGAGAGACACCAAGCTGGGTGACCCGTCAGCCAGTCGCAGTCGGCAGCCTCCTCGTACCTGAGCGTGGCGCTGAGCGTGACCTGGCTGCGGTGGAGGGCGCCCGACGGCTCGGCGGCCGGCGGCGCGCTCAGCACCGTCAGGCCCAGCCCGTCCCGGCGCCGGGACTGGGAGCGGTGCCGCTGGCCGGCGGAGGTCGGCTGCGAGGCGACAGGGCGCACGCGTCAGCCGGCCCACGACCGGGCTCACACTCCACTACGCCCGGGTCAGACAGCACACCACCTCAAGGGCGGCGGACGGCTGGTCAAGTACGGTCGGACCTAACACTTCTTACACTCATTTATGGTGGATCGTTAATGCTGATGCCCCACAAGACAGACAAGACAGCAGCAGCAGCAGCAATACAGTCGACCACTTTAGCCCACAGACGCGAGTCTCACGAGATTACCTCCTATGTAACCCAACGGAGATGTCTGTTTTTGGCATTATAAGGTCTTAAGCTCCAAAACGATGCCGGTTGACAAGACATTCTCAAAAAGGACATTAGGTTTTTCCTCTTATTCCCAATATTCCTGAAGGCACATTTTCTAGAAAGTGAAACCAAGGGTACGAAACGCCCAATTTACACATGAACTGAAACAGTAACAACTAGAAAATAAAAGCCAAGCTATTTGTCTTTCCCTACCACGTCTTTTAAATACGAATGAATACACCCAGCTATTTGTATCGCATTCAACGGCAAGTGCCCATAGCCCAGTATGAACTTTTTCGACGACCTTCCAGCGAACCCCCCCGACAGAACACTTCCGTCCCTTTGAGCAGTAGGGCGGCGGCAGCGGTAACAGTCGGACGCGTCCCACCGCCGTCCGACCGCCGCCCCCTCTCACCAGGGAGTGCCGTAGTCGGGTGCGGTCCTCGCTGGCCGAGCGGGTCTTGCGGGCTGACTTCAGAGATGACACCCTGCCGTGAGAGGGGGTGGCTCAAACCACACTGGAGGAGTCACGGCGTCCGAAGAGCGTTCAGTAGTCACACGGGACCGACTGGAGCATTCTCAAGTCCCACGGTACCAACTGGAACAGTCACAAGTCCCACGGGACCAACTGGAGCAGTCACAAGTCGCACGAGACCAGCTGGAGCATCCTTAAGTCCCACGGGACCGACTGCAATCACAAGTCACGTGGAACCAACTGGAGCAGTCACAAGCGACACGGGGCCATCTAGACCAGCCACAGGTCCCACGGGACCAACTGTAGTCACAAGTCCCACGGGACCAACTGGAGCAGTCACAAGTCACACGGGACAACTG